TAAAAGAGACTCTGCTAATAAGGGAATTAAAACCCGCCCTAAATGATAATGTAAGCAGCGAAAAGCTTTATCTTTATTAGTTTGCATTGTTTATATACAAATTTTTTTTCAGCTTCTGTCATTGTAATTGTTAATTAGTTGCTTATTTTAAATTGAAATTTAGTTGTTACTTCTATTCCTAACGTCACTTCTGAAGATGTATGTTGAAACATACGAAACGTCAAGTAAATGAGCTTAGTTTTTTAACATGTGTTTTATTGTCATGTTTATCACCGCAGTTTGCGTGTTATTTCTTATTTCATTCAGTTAAACGTAATCCACTAATTAATCTAGTTACTTCTTCGATTAATGAGCTGGTGTTCTAAGTTAACACTTAACAGCGATTTTTACTCTACAAATTCAGCGAGCATTTTAAAAGAAGTGATATTTAATGTTTAATAGACCAATTTCGATATATTAAAATTCAGTCTAAAACAATAGACCTCAGCACGAGGCTCCAGGGAATAAACCCCCAAAACGCTGTAGTTATTCCCCGGAGCCTCGTTTTGAGTTCTATTGTTTTAGGCTGAATTTTAATACATCGAAATTGGTCTATTCTCGTACTCTTTTTGGCTATGGACTTATCATGAACGTGGAAGAAAGAATCACGGCATCTCTCTATTAAGACGAAAAGCAGGGAATCATATGCCATCTTCCCACTACAATTTACAAGAAGAAGAAATTAAAAAATTAATTAGATGCATTTTGCGTTAGCTCGGCTATAACGTTTTTAGTTGAGATTATAATCATAGATCACGTTTTTACCTCTCCCTCTCTATCACGTGTTTTCTGTCTAATTATTTCACGAATCACGCTTTGAAGATCATTTCAAGAATCATACTCCACGATTGTCACCGTGCACCTTCACGGTTTACATCTCGTGTCATATAGCAAGCCATCCCCTATCTGGACCGCAGTGCAGCTGGTTAATGTCGTGCAATCGTAGTTAGAGCTTCAGTCGACCTTAGTTTACATTAGAAAGTGTTGTGTAATAGATCGTTGACAATTTCTGCTGATTATTCAACACCGCTTGACCAATCGACACTTACTTTATCAGTACGAGGGCAATAAGCTAACGGATCGTAACTGACAGGTGCGATTCCAAACGCGCCGATTGGCTGCCAAGAGTGGAAAGTTAACCAAATATGTCCAAAAGTTGACAAGAAGTACTTGAAATTAATGTTGGCTTAAGCCAAAAAGTAATTGCTCTTCCGCTGAATTTTAAACAATTTATTTTCGAAAATACGGGTAATTTAATTTTGTTAGATCGATGGGAAATCAAGACCTAACTGGACATTTAAAGAGGTGGGTTATAGTGTGAAAACTGTTCCACTTAAAGATCCGCTATCTATAACCCTCTTGATTTGGTTGCTGCGATCAATAGCAGTTCAATTCCTGAATCGAAGATGACCTGATCGAGACTCTCTATGGAAAATTTTACTGTGAACGAGGATGAACATCACCTGTTCAACAAATTCGAACCTTTCCTCTGCGTGGGCAGGCCGACTGAAAAAACACTTCAAATAAGATTTCTTTCCGCCTCGAACTTTTTTCTATCCTTCACTGCAGCGCTAGGGAACATCCTCATTCTAGTTGCTCTTTCCAAAACATCTTCACTCCATCCATCGTCGAAAATCTTGTATCGTTGCCTCGCAACAACTGACCTCTGTGTTGGTATGGTAGCTCAACCGTTATTCGCCGTCCAGTTACTATTCAGGGTCGACGAACGCCACTTTTTGTGCTACATCGCCCTCAGAATGTGCTATTGCTCAGGGGTGATTCTTTGCGGGGTTTCCATGACAACGCTGACCGCCATAAGTGTGGACAGGCTCTTAGCTCTTCAGTTAGCTTTGAGATACAGGCAGGTCGTAACTTCGAGGCGCGTTCGTGGGTTGGTAATTTTCTTTTGGATCGCGAGCGTGTTCGTTAGCACAACGTACTTCTGGAACGACTTCATCGCGTTGACTGCGAGCTGCAGTGCGCCCTTGCTTTGTTTGTTAACCTCAGGACTGTCCTATGCAAGGATGTATGTGTCTCTCAGGCAACATCACGTTCAAATTGGCGTTCAGAATCGGACAACTGTATTAAACATAACTCGATACAGAAGAACAGTATCTAGTGCGTTATTCATTCAGATCGGCTTGGTGATTTGTTACCTTCCTTATGGAGTTGTTTCAGCTAAGTTAATTACCAGTGGACTGAAGTCGGCTCTGATTTTTCCTTTCGCAATCAGCTACTGTCTGTTACTGTTTAACTCGTCTTTAAACCCTCTTCTTTACTGTTGGAAGATGAGGAATGTGAGGCAAGCTGTCAAAAACACGATTAGACAGTTTCTTCATTGCTTTTTATAGGGGAATTACCAATCTATTTCCGGGCGGTTTGTTCGAAAGCCAGTTAGCGTTAACCTAGGATGAAAAGTTAAACGAAGTATTAATTTTGGTTTTGTAGAAATTTTTGTCACTGCTTATGTTTTGTGCAGTTTGAGATTATTCCAACTCAAAACTGAGGGACAAATAATGTAGACTGAAAACTTCACAAAAAGTTGCAAAAATGAAATCAAAATTCTCGCTAATTCTGGGTGAGCTTAATCGGGCTTTGAACAACTCAGCCAGGATTTAATTATAAAGGCCACACGATGCAGAAGAAGCGTCGAGGAAAAGAACTGATCAGTAAACTGCCATTATAATCAAGTGTTCCCGGGCTCAAGCCTTTGATCCTGCCACAAAGATTCCTTGTACTTACTGTTCAACAACATTATCAGTTAGCTAATGATATGTTGGTCGTGGAGCTCGTTTTTGAGTTACGAGCACTTGAAGCTACAATTAAGAGTGCTTTAAACGGTTGCTATGGTAACTTATTATGCCATGAAGATGACCGCACCTTTTTTCACCAATCACTGGGCAGCTATATTGTAAACATCATTGGGCAAAGATTGGTAATGTTTATCCGTGAATTCAAAGTCCTTATAGCTGGCTAAACGGACACGCAAGAGTAGACGCAGTTGAAAACTTGGGTCTACTTGCCACTCCGTTTGGCCAGGTGTTGCGTGCACTTGCGTTGACTTGCGATGTTTTGCGCTCACTTTGGTGGAGATCAAGTTTGCACGGAAGTCGATGCAAGTTTTTCACCGTTTGGACAACAAACCCAAGTCAACGCAAGTCGAGTGACGTCCAGTCGTTGTTACAGCAACCCATTAGCCAATGAAATACACTGAGGATATCGGTCATGGAGGACCGTTGCCTTGAAAGGGGCATTTTTTACAATTTGCTTGTATTTGCAGTCCGTTTGGCCACCCAACGCAATTCTCTGCGCAAGTTTGGCTAGGGCTTTCTTACTGGAAACTGTTGTCAGGTTACCAGCCACCTTACATTAAAAATGCCTTGCTTATGTTTTAAGTTTATTTTATAGTTTTATTGTTTTTGTTTCTTCTAGTAAAATAAAGAGTGTTTTATTAGGTAGTGAGGACAAGACTTCCTCCATCGGTAACTGATATCTAAAGAAGCTCTTAGCAGAAGAGAGAACACAGGGGTAGGAAAAACTTTGACTGCAAGTTCCGGTTCTCTCTTCCCTAGACTGCTCACAGCCCTTTATCTTGTCGTATTTGTACTCGATCGTTGAACCCGCGGATACAATCGCGAGAAAACTGGACGCCAGCGCAAAACGGAAGACTTGACAGGATAGGGGGTGGCTCGCTTCGCTCTCCTGCCCTCCCATCCCCCGCTTGTTTTGCGCTTGCTTCGCTCGCTTTTTCGTTCGCGTGCGTTGAAAAATAGAGAGGCTGTGAATAGTCTATCTTTTCCCCAGACCGTTAATTTCGGGTCGAATTGCTTCTTCCGGAAATGCTGGAGACAATTCGACTCAAAAGAGGTCGTCTGGGAAAGAGAGAACTGAAATCTCTCAAATCTGGAGTCTAACTTTTCTCTAATCTGGTGCAGCACAGGGCTAGCTTTACAGTAAGAACTTACGCTTTGAAATCATCTCGAGGATGATATAACAACTTATTTTAACGATCAGTGGTGTGGTTTTACTTCATTTATTTACTGGTATCAACTGTAGCTCGCTAGGTATGGTAAGGTAACGCATTTACTTATAGCAATGCTGATGTTGTCTAAAAATTTAAAAAAAAAAGTACAGCCAAAAGACTATCTACAAGGTATTTGCAAAGAAGAGAACTATTGATTACAGAAATAATACGATAAATTGTAAAGAACTATAAAAAAATAAAAAGATTAGCTAGATCCATAATTGGAAACTATAAAATTCTGGTGACATTTTGTCAATTGGGTCAATATTTCTAACTTCAAGTACCAAGAAAACTTCCGACCGTCAGTTTCATTTTTGTGTAAAGATCTGATTTTTGTGTAAAGAAGCTGTTTTGTCACTCTCCTCTTTTACTTATTGCCGCTCAGATTTACTGATGGTTTGCAACCTGAAACCCAAGAAATTCAGAATGAGTTCCTTTGGGGGTGATCTGGATCAGCATCAGTGATCAAAGATCTCTCAGATCATGGTGCATCAAAGGAACCGATGAATCCACTCTGGACAAAGACTCATTGGTTCTTTGAAACACTGCGATCTGAGTGATGTAGGATCACTGATATCCTTATTCAGATTACCCTAAAGAAACAGTACCCTCAAATAACAAAGGTCTGGCGGCCATGCGTGTTCGATGACCCAAACAAAAGAAGTTTGTTACAAATCGTTTGTTAATATCATCCAATATGGCGGCGATGACGTCAAGTGAAAACCAAGAATAACTATATAAATCTTAGGCCAGAAAGAGACAATCATATCGAAACAAACTAGCATTAAAATCAGTTTTATTGAAAAAATAAATAAGCGGCTAAGCAAGTACAAACAAAACATGCAATAAATGATATTTACAAGTCGCCAAGTTAAACTTGTTTGTCTAAATAGTTGTGTACATGTCATCTTCTGGAACGTACGAAGCTGAACGATCAGAGGCCGCGTAGGATACTGGGACAGAAGATGGCTGTGAGAGATTGTTCATTGCACCAGTAGTAGTAGTGTTGCTGGTGTCAGACGCCGCTGAACAACAAAAAGAAAACAACGCTTTCAAACTTGTGCGGAAGTTGTGATACATTGCGAGGTAAATCAAAGGAAAAACTATTGAACGCAGAAAATGAAGAAGCTCGAAAAGCAGCCAAACGTTAAAGTAGCTGCGAGGAGTATTACCGAAGATGTGTAAGATGTTCCCTATAACGGCGGGACCCCAACAAATGTACTGCGAAGTGATCATTAATAAAAGCATAAACGTCATTTGCTTGCGCTTTTTATGAAGAATAGCGTTCCCTCCTGAAGCCGTGCTCCTCGGCTCTTGTAATTTGTGAAACACTTTGACAAAAACGAAGATGAACAAAGCAATGGGCGCCAGAAACAACAGTAATAACATGACTAATGAATAGTATATTTGCTCACTGTCAGTGTTCCATGTTTGCGTACATATTTGATTTGTTTTCCCGCTGGAAAATTTGAATTCTTCAACTTCGTAGGCGTAAACATAAGGTGCAAACAACAGGCATGATAAGATCCATATCAAACAGATGGAAATCCTTTGTTTCTTGAGAAGGAAAACTTGCCTGTGTTTCGTTGGCAGACAGATTCCGTAAAAACGATCCACACTTGCTAGGCACAGTGTAAGCACAGTCACTGCATATGATACAAAAACCAGATAATAGCACATTTTACAAGTTCCACTTCCACTACTCCACCGTAGTTTAGCATTGTTAAGAGTAAATGTGGCCGAAAACGATGAAATAATGTCTGACACAGCCATATTTGCAATAAACATGTCCATACTGTTTCGGAGGTTTGCCCTCTGAGCGTATAATGCCGTGAGAACTATGATGTTAGCTAGCAAAGAAAAGAACACGATTGTTAGTAAGAAAGCGACATAAAAGTTGACCAGAGTTGTGTCGATATTTTCAAGGAATGTCCCTGAGTTTGTGGAAACCATCGTGGCTTTAGCAGCTTGACCAAAATGAACCAGATGAGGCAATGAAATTCTTGAGACTGTCTTCAGTGTACTTTCGAGCCTTCAGTGAAATGTTCACTTCGTTTTAAAGTTCGTTTCCGTCAAGAGCGGTGTCAGCGTGTGTTATTTCTCTTAATATATGACAGTTGTTAATGGAAGCTTTGTTTTTCCAAGAGCACGCACATTCCACTCACGGGCACCTCAAGATTTCTTCGTCTCCTCGATGACGCAAATGGTTTGGAATCTGCCGGAAACATGGAAACATGCGCCGCTTGAGATCGCCTCAATTCTTTGAACTTCTTTCCCAAGTCGGTCTGGCAGTTCAAACTTGAAAGCGTTCGTTTGTTTGTTTGTCCAACCAATCTATTTCGATTACACCGTTTACAGTAGCGAGGAAGGAAAAACGTATCTTAAACAACGAGCCTCTCACAACGAAACCATACTTTATGGTTCTTTAAAGTTTGTCAACTTTGGTAAAAAGGCTCCGGAAATGGCGTATTAAACAGCAAAACGGCGACGTTTTATCGATGAAAGCTTCAAAACGTCCGCTGGCAAAAGCTAATCACCTTATGCCTTAAAACCGTACGATTTGGATAACAAAGGAAAGCTCATTACAAGCGCCTAACATTTATTGTGTAAAGTAATCACTAGTGTCACACAGGGGACAATGTTGGTGACCAATGAACTGCCCGCATTTTTCTTTAGTGACAACAAAACTTAATAAACTTGTAAAAACTCTCGAAACGCGTTAAGTTTAATTTAAGTTCTGGTTTCAAGCTCGAGGTTTGGAAATGCAAGGAGCTCTTTGTCCAGATAAGTTTACAAAGAATGTCTTGTGTGTCATTAGCATCAAGAAACATCACGGTCTTGTATTAACAGGTCTTACCGACTTAAATCCACTAAGGCAGTGTCTTTACGCTTGAATGAACTCGAGGAGAGAAAAAAGAAAAGAGACCTGAAACAAATCAAATTAAATTCCAAATTTAATAAAAAACAAGAGACAGTTCATACATAGCCAAACAAAGCACCCCCGAGCCTCGAAGCCTTCGAAATAACCACCGCAGAGACAGAAATATTAGTTTTATTGACTCGGGTTTATTAAAACTCATATCACCATAGGATCCGTTAAACAAGACTGATTACAAAAGGAAGTGAAAAAAGACACAGCGGCAGTCGAGCAGTTTTTAATAAAATGAGTTGTGGTTTAGTTTCGGCTGGACGTTTCTTCTTCCGATTCCGTCCGGAGGGTAAAAGTATTTGGCCTTTTTTTTTTTTTTACTTTGTTTTGTTTTAATTACTATTTTCAACTCACGCATAGAGTTCTATAAGGATGTACTAAAAGACTTTGAAAGGACCACGAATTTTTATAGTACAAGGAAAGAACGTGGAAAAAAGGTCTGATACTGTTATGTTGTCAGACTCGGCTTCGGACAAGCGATGGGAGGTGTTGATAACTCTCTATATTACACTTAACTGCATGCAATAATGGCTTATAAATAACTCGTCAAACGTTTTATTGCAGTCTGTGCTTTCGTAAACTGAAGTGTTCTTATTGAAGTGTATTTCTATACCTCCACCACCACCCCTGGAATAAACCATATTCGTGTTCTCGGTATTGGAATGGAACTAGCTTGTAATGGAGGCTCATGCGCGGGAATATTGTCGAGAGGACTCCCCGCATCAGCCTCGGTTGCAAGCTAGTTCCAGTCCAATAACGAGAATACCCTGGACATGGTCGGTTGCTCTGGTTTATTAGTGTACAAGTTTTTTTCAGAGTTTTTCAGATCTCAAACTGACCGGTATTTCGATCACCCACCCAGTTTTTTCTATCCGAAAACTGACATTTTCTCAGGCCAAATCCATTTTTTCCCCGATTTTTAAAACCGTTTCATTTTCCCGAGTCCAAAACTATTTTTTTAAGTCCAAATCCAGCTTTTTGCGTCCTGGAAACCGTTTTTTTTCCGATCCCTTAGCAAAGTTGTGGATGTTGACCATTGCCACGGGTTGGAGGGTGGTTTGTAGCTGCCTGTTTAAGTTTATCCGGAGGGTGTCTGGAATAGTAGAACTTTCAGTTGTCCCCTACTGTCATTCGGGGACATCATCATAGTTCTTTTTTTGGTCAGCGACAACTGTGTTTAGGCCTGCAGGTCGTTAATTGGTTAATAGGAAGCTTAAGGCCCGGGTCAAACGCCATACTTCACATGAGCCGAACCCAATGATAGTTTGGGTCGACTCAAATAAATAAAAGAACGCCTGTTTGAGTCAAACGTCGAACTTAATTCAGTCGAATCGATCTGCCACACCAAATAAATAACAAAAGAGGTCTTGTTCAGTTGTTTTCCAAGGTAAAGTCAAAATGACCCCTTTAGACCTTTGATTATGCGTTTGGTTCGACTCACGTGAAGATCGCCGTTTGACCCAAAGACGGTCTTCAGGCGTTATTCACGGCTGGCCGGGCGTGACATCAATGGTTCATAACCAAAGAATATATATTACGGTTTTTTTTCAGGTCGAAGTCGGTTTAATCAAAGTGACCGCTCTGTTGTAGAAATGCATGAGTTCAGACTAAAACGTTTTGTAGTACTTATTTCTTCAGTGCAGGATAGCTTGAAATCAGACTCTCTGCCCCATTTCATTCTGTAATGTTTCATTCCAGAGCTTAATCTGTTTTTTTATTTTATTTTCCTGTCCTTTTTTTGTGGAGGGGGGTTGGGGGGAACAATAGGACAGGGTGGGAAGCCGAGAGGAAATAAACCGCACGGTCTGTCAGAAGCGGGAATAGACGGAGCGAGATGCGGATGCGCGCCCAAGGTGGCGAAAACCGCGAAAAAGAGGAAAGAAAAAACCCGCAAGTTTGCGTTGTTTTTCAGTAGAAAATCGCGACAAAGCGAGAGTCACTGACTTAACAAGTAGACACATACTCGAAATAAAACAGACAGCAAACTGTAAAGCTTTCACCTGATCACAACAATAAGGCTCTATGTCCTTTGTGGCGAAATAACGTCCACTGCTAGACATAACTAGCACAGAGCGGTGTTCCCTTTAGGCTCGTTTACCAGCCGCTGTTGGGAAAGAAGGCCGCGCTCCTTCCCCGAAGTTTCTTCTGGGGGAGGAAGGAAGACCGGACTCGAGGGAGTGGTGGAAATCGAGCCTATGTTTCCTTAGGTCTATTTATAACGTAACGAACGCATGCAATGCGATCCGAATAAAAAGTGTTAGAGGATTTGCAAGCCGGCGAGTCAGGCAATAATCCACGAGAATTGTTATCAATCGGCAAACAAGGCGACTCGTACAATTATTTGACGCGGGTGCTCAAATCGGATCAACGTCAGATTAGCGATTTCAACGCTTTTGATGAAAATTGAAGAAAGACAAAAGAGGTAATCCCATGCACGTGTGCTATCTATCGCTGAAAGCTAGTCGATGTCTGTTATGCCAGGCGAACTCATGAAAAAAAAAGATTTTGCTTTAATATTGTTGGGACTGAGTAACTGTTTAATCGAAATTCATTGGGAAAATTTTTCAATTAATACTGAACGGTTTTTTTAACTGGCAGGTTGTGATTGACAACTAAGTTCTCTTAGTTTCAATTTCAACCCAACCACAAACAGAAAGACAAGGAGAATACAGAGATTTATTCAGTAACTACGATAAAATGTTCTGATGTACCTCTATATTTTCAGAACTAACATTCTAATCAAAAATATCTCACCAAGGTTCTTCAAAGGATAGGCAGCCCTGCCCCCTGGATAAAAAAAAAAAACAACTATTCAATGGATATTTCAGTTGTTTTTCGAACACAATTAAACAGTGGTTTACCCGGTGAATAAAATTATCCACACTTTGAAAAGCGAGACCTTGTTTGGATTTTAACCCTTTGTCAAATATTCGCCACGTTGTAGGCGAAATTGATTTAGCAAAGCTACAGTCAGTTATCAGAAACTGGTCTTTATTGCTATTCTTGTTTCGTCACAACTTTCAAATTGTTTGGAGAAAAGTAGAAGCCGGCGTTATTGAGCTGAAAACGGGTTTTGGACCACGCCTAAAGACGATCGCACAATGCCTAGGTGGGCCGGTTGTTGAAAACAATAAATAAAAACGCAAAGCTTGATTAGCACACTGTGTTGAGTTTATTGGCCGGAGAGAAGATCATAAGGTTTGTGTGACCTATTTCGCTGGGAAAAGCTTGTGTAAAGTCACACGTGTGATGTTCGCGGAGGTTTTATTTTTTTTTTTTCAGTCATTAACTGCAAACTAGGTAGGCAAACAAGGTGAAATGAAGAAGAGAAAAGCTCACGTTGATAACCTTTATTAGATTTCAGCTGAGTAGCCGGCATAGCAACACACAAGGTGAAAAAGTACAATAGCCGTGGGCGGTTATTTAACTGTTATGAGGCAAGTTTTAATTTTTCCTTTCCGTAAGCTTAGCCGATTGATTTTATAATGCAGATCAGGGCCGCGATCGGACTGATAAGGAAACAAGGTGTCCGGAACACCGCTCTATTAGTAGAAGGGGTATGTGTGTAAATTAGCGCCAAGTACAAAGGGATCCGACGAGATAATTTCAAATATCGAAAGCTTTAATTATAGCTCAATAGAGGATGAGTGTTTGTTGAGTTCGTTCGCCGGCAAACAAGACGCCGTCCGTTATGGGAGCGCGAATCGGGAAATATCGGTCTCTATCTGCCTGGGTATCGTGGTATCGAAAGAAAGAAAAGTTTCACAACACCACCAGCTTGCAGAGAAATGAAGCTTAAAAGCAGTCAATGCGAAATAAATTGAATGTTGCACCATGCCATTTCAAACTGAACCGCTTAGTCAAGAACCACTTTGACATAAGTTTAACTTCCACAGTTCAGTGTTCAGTGTTGGCCAGTGTTTCAAAACTGACGTATGTAAAGTAGAAAAAAAGTTCTTCTTCTGATAACAAATATTTGCTATGAAATTATTGTTTTCCTTTTGGCAAAATTCGGCCTATTTTAGCTGAGCTCGTTGCGAAAGTTAATTCAACCTTCAGTGCAAACAGACTACAAAAACTAACAACGCTTGTTTACTGCGAATAAATTTTCTTTCTCCCGTATTGTATCAGCTGCATTCTCAGAAACGCGTCGTGGATAGAAAACAAGTTGCTTAAACTTTCAATGGATTTCCAAAAACCTATAACACGATCATAACTTTCAGCAGATAGCAGTATTGTTTCTTTCATATCAGAATTGACTGATCTCTTTGATAAACAAAAAAATTCCAATAAAATTCGGTGTTGTCGGCAAATTTCAACATTGGTATTGTGGACAATTATTTGTTCTTAAAATCTAACAAATTTCATCAAATTCTCTTTATTCTTTTCCGAACGAGATTTTATCCTACACAGTTTAATAAAATAAGGTTATTATACTTCTGGCATACCAGGAAAACAACACTGAATATGTTCGATTTTTCGACAATTTTAAGTTAAGCTTCGTTTCAAAAACTAGGTCAATTTTCTTTCGATTTCAAAACAAAAGGCGTCGAGGGGTGAGAATTGAACAAGTTAGCTTTTCTATATAATTTAGTTGTTATGTGGTTGGCCTGTGATCTTAATATATCTGCGAGTTTTTTTTCCCTATTGTAGTAAGACTGATAAATACAAAGGCCTAGCTAATGAAAACAGAAAGAAGCGAAGTTTTGTTTTCTTTGTACAATGAGGT